GAAAACAGTGACCATCTCTACCTCATCCATTGGAGGTTTCACTCTCGACGCCTGTTCAAGCCACTTAATCGCATATTCACGGAAGCTTTCTGAAGGCTTCTTCTTAAGATTTGCCAAAGAGTTCCTGTCCGGCGCGATGTCTATGTTGTATTGAAATTGTCGAACAAAGTCTCGGGCCAGATCATCCCAAATGTGCCAACGCGAGACATCTTGATCCATGTACCATTCTAAAGCGATACCTATCAAGCTTTCTCCAAAATATGCCATCAACAACTCTTCTTTGCCACCGGCTCCCCGTAACTGATTGCAATACTTCTTTAAGTGAGCAATGGGGTCACCTTGCCCGTCATACTTCTCGAATTTTGGTGTTTTGAACCCTGACGGCAAATGTACATGAGGGAACATACATAGATCCGTGTATGAGACACTCTTTTGCCCGCTCAGTCCTTGCATGTTCTTCAAGCTCTGCTCGAGGCTTCTCATTCTCTTTGCCATTTCATCCTGCTTTGGGTCTTTGGGGGTTTTGTCCTGCCCTGGTGTAAGCTCGTATGGGGGTGGCTGAGAGTAATTATATATGGGATATTGAGGAGGATCTAACGGGAAGACAGGGTTTTGGAATGTGAATGCTGAGGGATCAAAGGCAGGCCTTGGCAGTGAAGGTTGTGTTGTAGCAGGACACGGTGGAGCAGTGAAGATGTTAGGAGTTGCTCCTGCTGGGAACACCTGGGGGCGGACCTCAGAAGGCATTCCAACAAAATGAGCGGTCATGGTAGGTTGTCCCAAAGGGGTAGGAGGGTGACTGATAGGGACAGTAGTAGCACCTCCAGCTCTGGGGAACAACTCTAGGAATCCGGGAATATTGCTTGGAGGTTCCTTTCCATTGTTCCAAGCATCCCACATTTCCATCAGTCGCAGGCGCAAGATCCGATTTTCTTCAGCTGTAAAAGATTCAGAGGCCGGGACTCCCGAGATGGGGCTATCTTCAGAGATGGGGACTGCGGGTAAAGTTATTTCTGTAGACATTTCCACACTTCCTTTCGATCTGGTAAAGTATTGATGCGATGCCAGCTTACCACAACCAACCACCGTTTCTAAAAGCTGGAATGGAATTACAGCAACACACGGTTAGTTTGAGACAAGTAACAGATATGTAGTCGCACATTGGGGTGTGATGCACCTATACAGTTAAACGGATGTCTACATGTTTGCACTGGTTGCATGTGTCATCCCGGCTTTTCTTTTCTCTTCTTTTGCTTTCCACTCCTTGTTTTTCTTGTTTTTTTTTTTCTTTCTCAACTGTTTCTTCATTTTTTTCTTTTGCCATGGTTTTTCTCTCTAATCCTTATTTTCTCTTTCTGCGTTTCTTTCTCTCTTATTTCCCTCCCTCGTATTCCCTTCTATTTATTTTATATATATATATATATATATATATATATATATATATATATATATTCTAGAGTGGCTCTTACTTTATCAAAACAGTGCACCTTTCTCCTTATTTCCTTAGTTCCACTCAAAAGCCACACCCAGCACCCCACACTTTAACTTTTACAAAGTTCATAACTATTCAAGTGCTCATGAGAGGTTAAAATGTTCAAATAGATGGTTAATTCAAATAAATGAGTAAGGCTTGTAGTGTGGTTGCCAAAGAAACAGGATTACAGGCTCAACGGGGTTAACTACGATACATAACAAATGGGTAGATGAAGTTTATATATGGTTCAACAAAGAAATGCCTATATCACTTCCCAGACTAAACAAGACTACTATTTCGCTTTGCAGACACACGGGGCAAGTTCTAGGCATCAAATGTCGTGCACAGAATACAACAAGCCTCACACACACATGACACACGACTCACTCCAGATTGGGTCATCAAACACTCAGATCAGGGTACTTAAGCCATATTAAGAACATACAGTTTAAGGCATTCTTACAAGAGACGACAGCTGAGCCTAAGCGTCACACTAAAGTACCCGCTATATTCAAGGCATTACGACGTTAAGAGATCCTATTTCTATTTCCGCCCATAGCCCATAAGTTCCTACAATAAATAAAAACTAACTACACTCGGTTCAAATGAAAACCTTGGAAAAGAACCGTGGCTTAAAGAAAAACCAAGGGGGAATTGATACACTAATACAAAAGAAAATCTTTTTGTGTTTTTTTTTCTTCTTCTTCGTCTTTAGTCCCTCAAGAAACCCGTCGAATGATATCCATCGTCGGGACAAGTCGAAAATGATTTATGTAAATAAACTACGAAACTAATCTACACACAACAAACCAACAAAGTATCTCCCATCCCACACTTAAAATGATGGCGTGTCCCCATGTCATACAAAATAAAGTAATGCGAGGTAAAGGAACTTCCCTGGAAGATCAGTCTTGATCGGAGACAGTGTTGGGGTCGAGATGACACTCCCTCCACAGCGCACGCAGCCAGACCATGATCTTCTTCTCCGACTTCGCGTTTTGGGTGGCCAAGGCATTAACTCTAGTCCCCAATTCCGTGACGGAAGTGCGCAGCCCTACCATTTCCTATTCTAAGGTTGTCATCCGCGTACTCCGTCTGACTGCTGATGGTCCTCCAACCGCGGCTACTTGTTCCCGTGGGGGTGAGGATGGCCCAACTTGTTCTTGTGGAGTTGAAGAAGGCCCAACTTCCTCCAGCTCTTCATCGCTCTCCTCTGACTCCTCCGAATCATCACTATCAGTTGTACCAGGTACCATCGTGTCCTTCCTAATGGTCACTTTGTTTGCCCGAAACTTTGCTTTTTGCTTCACCTTGCCATCCATATTGAGGTTCTCTGGCACCCCTACGGCCCGGCACAATCTAGTGACCAGAGATGGGAAGAAGAACCCATACCTCAGTGTTGAGCGGATGAACATCTCAGAGTGAATAACCTTGGCCACATCAAAATCTTGGCCATTCAAGAAGCACTAGATCAAAGCTGCTCTCGGACCATTTACCTCAGTGGTGTTGTGGGACAGCAGCAGTCGACTATTGATGATGTACAACCAACACTTCCCTTCAAAGGTTAGTGAGGTTGAGTGCAACTTCAATCCCGGTACAACCCACACTACATCTTTGTCCGGTACACAGATAGTTCTGAAAAACATGTGCCAATTTGTTGGTTCTCGCCGGTAAGTATCATAGTAATCCTCCTCCAGTGAATACAGGCAATCGATACACTCTCCTGATGGCTTCTATCGAGGCATTCACTCTCTTTTATCGCACAATGCAGATGTGATCCTTATGTTTAGAGCAGTTGGCATAGAATTCCCTAACAAGCATCAAGTTACCCTTCTCCGGCTCTTCGAAGAAAATTTCCAGCCTGCGGCTAATCAACTCCCTGTACATATTGGGGCACTCATCCTGGAGGGATCCCTTGTCAACTCCCCTTTCCTGTATAGGCTTTCTAATAGCCTTCCAACTGAAACGGTCTTGGGCAGCTCTGGAGACAAACCTGGTACGATCAAACTGAGCTGAACCGGTTGGAGCCCGTGCCCGGGACGAGCCTCCATAACCACTTGATGAGGCACCGGTAGTGCATCTCTTCTTTGAAGATCTCATGGTACCTACACAACAACCACCACTATCAATAATCGGCGGAATATGTGAACCAAAGGCGGTTACTCAGACTTCACTTGTACCATTGGTCACAATTTATAATAAAAGCTCATTGTGGCAATTCAACAAACACTTACTGTGCATATACCCCCCAATGTACCCAAAGACCCAATTAAACTTACATTCTTCACAAACTCAACAATGTCTTCCCCAACCCAACCAAATCTAATATCCTCACATACTAACATATATACCAACAATCAAAAACAAAGATAAGAGTACCCATAACTTCTACTATCCTACACTTACAATAGAAGAGAAAAAGAATGAAAAAATTTAAAAAGCTAAAAAAGAAAGTAGAAGCAGGTTACTTACTTGAAGATCTTGTGAGGAATGGAGTTGGGGTAGTGGTTGAGTAGAGAAGCGGGAGAAGGAGAGGAGATTTTGTTGAGTAAAAAAAATGGGGGAGAAGAAGGGGGAGGGTTCGTGGGTTCTGATTTGGGGAAGGGGGGCGGGAGGTTTTTTTTGGTTAGATTGTTTGTTTTAGGGGGGATGGGGAGTGGCGGATAGGGGGGAATATAAAAACGATAAGGGGGGGGGGGCGGAAGAGAAAAGAAAATAAAAGGAAAAAGATATATTTTACTTGAACCTGAACGGCGCAAGCTCCGCGATCGGATCCGCGGCCGCGGACAGAACACTGTGCAAAATCCGCGGTCGCATCCGCGGATTGAGGCATCACCTTTTTTGTTGCTTTTTTCGCACTTTTGCCTATCTACGGGATAATTTTGTCACCCCAAGTCCTTCTGCTGCGCATACTTTCGTTCCTGCACCTTAGTAGATCGATCAATATTGTCACCATTCATAAATCAATTACAAAAATAAGAACAAAGAAAAAAAATAATGGGCTGCCTCCCAAAAAGCGCCTAATTTAACGTCGCGACACGACAATTTACAACAAACCATGGGTTGCCTCCCAGGAAGCGCCTGATTTAATGTCGCGGCACGACGCAGGATTTCATTATTACTCCTCGCTCGTGTATTGGGTCTCTTCTAACGATATCACCACTCTATCCCCCTTTTCTTCGACCATTCCAAGGTAATGTTTCAACCTTTGCCCATTTGCCGTGAACTTATTTGTTCCATCTTTGGATTCAATTTTTACAACTCCACTTGAGAACACTTGCACCACTCTGAAGGGTCCTGACCATCGGGACTTCAATTAATTACCCGGAAACAATCTTAGTCTCGAGTTGTATAACAACACTAGATCTCCAGGTTTGAAGCTCCGATCTAGAATATGCTTATCATGCATCATTTTGATCCTTTCTTTGTACAATCTTGCATTCTCAAATGCATGGAACCAGAATTGCTCAAGTTCATGTAACTCAGTGACGCTACTGGTGCCAGCGGTCTCCATATCCAAATTCAACTACCGCATTGCCCAAAAGGCATTATGCTCAAGCTCCACCGGAAGGTGGCATGCTTTTCCAGACACCAACTTGTATGGTGACATACCAATTGGAGTTTTAAATGCTGTGCGGTACGCCCATAATGCATCATCCGGCTTCTTTGCCCAATCAGTCCTTGTCGCATTCACTGTCTTGGTTATGACACTTTTGATTTCCCGGTTTGACACTTCGACTTGCCCGCTCGACTGTGGGTGATAAGGTGTGGTCACTTTATGGCGAACTCCGTAGTTTTCCAACAGCCGTGCGAACGCTCTATTGCAAAAATGGTTCCACCATAACTGATTATAGCTCTCGGGGTGCCAAAATGTGTGAAGATGTTTTTCTTTAGAAAGCCTGTCACCCATTTTGCATCATTGGTTGGGAGAGCCACAACTTCAACCCATTTGGAGACATAGTCAACTGCCACCAGTATGTATTTGTTACCATACAAGCTGACCAATGGTCCCATAAAGTCAATCCCCCACATGTCGAATACCTCCACCTCTTGAATAGTAGTCATCGGCATCTCGTGACGTCGAGATATGTTGCCTGTCCTTTGGCACTCATCGCAACTTTTCACCCAAGCATGGGCCTCCATGAACAGAGTTAGCCAATACAAACCCGATTCCAACACCTTAGCCGCTGTCTGAATTCCTCCAAAGTGGCCACCATATGGTGAAGCATGGCACGCCTGCAAAACAGAATGTTGATCTTTCTCGGGGATACAGCTCCGGATCATGTTATCTACACATATTTTAAAAAGTAGAGGTTCATCCCAATAATAAGACCGATAATCGCGAAAGAACTTTTTCTTTTGAATTGAAGAGAGTTCATAAGGTACAATACCGCATGCTAAATAATTAGTAATATCAGCATACCATGGCGTCTCCTCCATTATCACTGCTAGTAACTGTTCATCCGGGAATGTCTCTGTTATTTCTTCAACCTCTACCTTCTTTTCAGCTCCTTCCAACCTTGAGAGGTGGTCTGCTACTTGGTTCTCTGTCCCTTTTCTGTCATGGATCTCCAGATCGAATTCTTGTAGCAAAAGAACCCAGCGGATCATGCGTGGCTTTGACTCCTTTGTTATCAAGTACCTAATTGCTGCATGGTCAGTATAAACAATAACTTTTGAACCAATCAAGTACGACCTGAATTTGTCGAATGCAAAAACTACAACCAACATCTCCTTTTCTGTCACAGTGTAATTGAGCTGTCCACCGCTTAGCGTTCTGCTTGCATAGTAAATGGGGTGCATCAGCTTGTCCTTTCGCTGCCCCAAGACTACTCCTATAGCATAGTCACTTGCGTCGCACATGAGCTCGAACGGTTGCTCCCAGTTGGGTGCAACAATGATGGGTGCAGTCATCAATCTCTTCTTCAGCTCCTCAAATGCCAACCTGCAATCATTAGAAAACACAAAGGGCTGATCCTTTTCAAGGAGTTTACATAAAGGGTTAGCAATCTTAGAAAAATCTTTTATGAATCGCCTATAGAACCCGACGTGCCCAAGGAAACTTCTCCTGCCTTGACCGAAGTGGGCGGTGGCAACTTCTCAAACACGTCAACCTTAGCATGGTCAACCTCAATTCCTTTACTGGACACTCGATATCCCAAGACTATCCCTTCTTGTACCATAAAATGGCACTTTTTCCAATTTAGTACTAAATTTGTCTCCACACATCTTCTGAGCACTCTTCTTAAATTGTGAAGACAGTCCTCGAATGAATCCCCCACAACGGAGAAATCATCCATAAATACCTCCATAATGTCTTCAACCATGTCCATGAAAATGGCTAACATACACCGCTGGAATGTAGCCGGTATATTGCAAAGTCCAAAAGGCATTCTCCGAAAGGAAAAGATGCCATACGGACAAGTGAAGGATGTTTTCTCTCTGTCTTCGGGGTCTATTGAGATCTGATTGTACCCCGAATATCCATCCAAGAAACAGAAGTGAGATTGCCCAGCCAACCTGTCCAACATTTGGTCAATGAATGGCAACGGAAAATGGTCCTTCCGGGTGGCTGTGTTCAGTTTTCGATAATCCATGCAAATCCGCCACCCCGTGACTATACGAGTCGAGATCAAATCGTTATTCTCATTTTGTACGACCGTCATTCCTCCCTTATTCGGCACACACTGAACAGGGCTGACCCAATTGATGTCGGATATGGGGAAGATGATACCCGCATCTAACCATTTGATCACTTCCTTCTTCACCACCTCTTTCATATTCGGGTTCAGCCTTCGTTGATGTTCTCTGGAGGGTTTGTGCCCCTTCTTCCAAGAGAATTTTGTGCATACAAAAAGCTGGGCTGATACCCTTTATGTCTGCCATGGTCCAACCAATAGCAGTCTTACATTCCTGTAACACCTGTAGGAGTTGCTCTACCTGCACAGCTAGCAAACCGGATGATATAATAATAGGTAAAGTAGAATTAGGCCCTAAGAAAGCGTACCTGAGGTGAGCTGGAAGCGGTTTCAGGTCCAACTGTGGTGGCTCCTCTATCGATGGTTTCGCAGGTGGTGTTGTTCTTTCTTCTAAGTGTAGGGGCTC